TTTTTTTAAAAGGGGGTTTTTGGGGGCTATAGTGTTTTTTTTGGGAATTGTATTCAGAATCAAATTTTCAAGGACGTTGAAAACTCCCAAATGCAAAAAAAATTGACATCAATTGTTTATGTAATACAGTGTAAATGGTTTTTGGGGGTTTTCTTCATTGCCACAATTATTAAACCCCTTAAAGACAAACCAATCGGGAAGGGAACAGAGGTTCATACAGGTGTTTTCCCATCGGGTTTATTGAAAACCCCTGTGGATGTCACCGGCGCAACCCAAGATAATAAGAAACCAATTAGGCAGTTTTTAAAATGCTGTGTACTCAGCCCCTTCTAGACATTTATGGTGGGGGTTCCCAAACATGGGGGAAGGCAGGGGAAATGGCCCAGGAAGACAAGAGAAGAGGTGTTTTCTTCACGGGGAAGGGGAAATGGCTAAAAGAAGATTGCAAAGTTGTTAAAACATCCCAAGAGACCCCTTGGGGAAAGTTCTTTTCGCAAATTAAAGGGAAAAGGGAAAATTTTTGAAACGCCCCTGGTCGTGGCAGAAAGAAGTTTGGCTGACTTCGACTGCTGTGCGCTCCCTGAAGGTAGGTGGGGGAAAAGTAGGGGTTGGACTGCCCTTAGGGAATGAAAAAAGTTTTGTCAGATTTTTGGGGTAAGAAGTTTCCCCCAGACAAAAAGACGAACACTGCGTAAGGGAAGGCCCCCCGTGCCGGGAACCCCCAAGGGTCCCCCCTTGTTTTGTCTCCAAAAAATAAAAAGGGAGTCGACTGCAGTATGCCAAAACCCCCATGGGGCCCAAAACCACAAAAGTTTTGGGATAGTGTTTTGGGACTGATGAAAAAAAAATTTAGAACTTTTTGGGCCCCATGGATAAAAAGCTATGTTTGGAGGGGAAGAACAAGGCCTATGAGGGAAAAAACCCCTTCCCTATGTGAAGATGGTGGGGGGTTTTTCAACCCATGTTTTTGGGGGCTTTTTTTGTTTTCTGCAGGAAACAGGGGAAGCTTCAGGGGGGTGCGGGGGGTACAATAAATTTTCCTTCAGTACCGGAGATTTGGAGGGAAAAACGTGTTTGCAGCCCTTTCACCCACCTGAGGCTTGGGAGGTTGGACCTTTCAACAGGAAAATGCCCCCAAAGCATACCCCCAAGGGTTCCCTAGGCTGGTTGCAGGGAAAGGTTTGAAAATTTTGGAGGGGCCCAAATCGCAGTACCAGACTTAAAAAACCCGTTTTGAGAACCTCTGGTGGGACTTAAAGAAAGCAGTTTTGCATTTCGCAACCCTAAAAATGGGGACGAACTGGGGGCCTTTCCCCATGAAAAAAGGGGGCCCGAAGATCCCCGTAGATCCCCCTGCAAGAAAAATTGTGTAAGGTATGTTTACCTTTTTTTAAAAGCTGTTAAAAGGGGGAAAAAAGGATGCTGTACTAAGTACAAAGTTTTGAAAGCCCTTTGGGGGGTTTTAAAAAAAAACTGATAATGCTGGAGCACAGAAAAGACATTTGGGTTATTTCATTATAATGTTTTTTTATATTTGTTGCCTACAAGTCCCTCTTTAATGAAAATGTAAGCAAGAGGGCTGAATTGATAAAAAGAAATGAAAAAGGGCCCAAAAACACTAATTTCGTGGGGGGTTTTGAAAAATTTTTGGGCCCCCAAAAACTTTTAGGTACAGTTTTTTATCAAATTTTGGGGACAAAAGCACCCAGCGGGCCCTAAAAAAGAGAGCAAATGGCAGGTAAATCCATCCGGGTTTTACATTTTGTGTTTGTTTTAAATGATAAATGACAGGTAAAACCCACCTGGAGCCCTTTCTCCAAAATGGAGTGTGTTGAGTTCTTGGAAAAAGTCTACACAGTGTTTCCAAAATTGGTTTATCACCCCAGTCAGGAGCCTTTCCTGTCATCCTACATGTTCCCTTCTGAGGATTGTTCTATCCTTCCAAACAAATGTATGAAATCATGGATGAGTCCTCCTTCTATGTGATCTAGAAGATCTTCAATCACAATGTCTTTATGGATGAAGTGGATGGCCCAGTTTATATATTATTTATTGCTTTACAGCTTTATTCCCTCCAGGATTCATTCTTTATTTATAGAACCATTCAAGGAAGTGTTCTTACTTTGAGAGATCTCCACCACCATTCCTCTGTGACCATTACATCCTTGTCATTTATGTCTAACATCTTCATTATGAGTGGATTGATAGATATTTTTATACTTTAGGATGTATTTTTGCATATTTTACCCAAAAAGATCTGTTTTGGAGGTCTCTGTTTTATTATGTATTTTGTTTTTATCTTGTGTTCTGTGTCTTTAAGACTTTTCTATCTGTAGTAAAATATATATTATATAAACAGTTGGTTGCATAAGAGTTAGGTTTATTGTTTCTTACTTTTTTTAGTTCTTTTTGATCTTCCCTGGTATCTCTGTAAGGTAGATACAATGCTGGAATGGGTTATTAGGGATGTTTCTTGGGGCTGCAGTTCCTCTGAACTCCACAAGATGGTGACCTCATTTCTCCCCAGACAGGAAGTCTCCATGGAATACAGACAGAAGTGATGTCAGGTTCAGACAGGAAGTGATGTCAGGTACAGACAGGAAGTGATGTCATGTACAGGCAGGACATTCCGAGAGGTGAGTTGGGAGGAAGCAGATCGGAGACATTTGTGGACGTGGCAGCAGAGGAGGTAATAAGTTGTTATTTCCTATTTACACCTAGTAACCCCCCCGTCATGTCCATCCTCTTCCTCCATAGTCACGTCAGTCCTCTTCCTCCATAGTCACGTCCGTCCTCTTCCTCCATAGTCACGTCCGTCCTCTTCCTCCATAGTCACGTCCGTCCTCTTCCTCCATAGTCACGTCCGTCCTCTTCCTCCATAGTCTTCACATCCTCCATAGTCACGTCCGTCCTCTTCCTCCATAGTCACGTCCGTCCTCCTCCTCCATAGTCACGTCCGTCCTCTTCCTCCATAGTCACGTCCGTCCTCTTCCTCCATAGTCACGTCCGTCCTCTTCCTCCATGGTCACATCCCGTCCTCTTCCTCCATAGTCATGTCCTGTCCTCTTCCTCCATAGTCATGTCCGTCCTCTTCCTCCATAGTCACGTCCGTCCTCTTTTCCTCCATGGTCACATCCGTCCTCTTCCTCCATAGTCATGTCTGTCCTCTTCCTCCATAGTCATGTCCGTCCTCTCTCCTCCATAGTCACTGTGACGTCTTTTATCTCCAGCAGATGATGATACACACATATATAGTGTGGGAACCCAGATGAACCCCTTCAGGGGCAGAACATTCCCCCACTTCCGGGGCCTGAACATTCTCCTCATTGTGGAGATAAATTCTAGTAATATGGTCCTCTAACAAACAGCACTGACAATAAATAGACAAGACAAGGACCATCCTGACCATACATGGCCTACAAAGGGCAATGATGACACTACACAGGCAGCCAATGGGCAATCATTACACTATGCAGCCAACACAATGATGGAGTGCCGGGGTCAGGAGTATGGAGCATAGAGCCCCTTACATTGCTGTATTTACTTTCCAGACCTCCTTACAGAACTCCTATCAGGAAAGGAAGACAACCTTCACCTTCTTAACATCTCATTATTTTTCAGTATACCAAGAGGAATGAAGGAGGGCGGTCTTTCCCCCCCTTGGTGGGTACTTGTTCTTAGAGGAGGTCTGTTGGTGCATTATTGACTAAAAGGTAGTCAGGGGTCAGTGCTGAACATCTTCAGGAGACACTCCAATACATTCCCATGACACAGGCTCTGGCAGTGCCCGGTGCTGGAATTCAGAGCCCCAGGAACCCACCACCACTCTGTACAATGTCCTGGATATCACAGTATACTTGGCAATGAAGAGAACTAACCCCTCCCTTATGTTGTTCTCTTCCTACCCACGATGGGCTGTCATTGGAGGGAAGAGAACAGACTCCTCCCCCAGAGCTCTCTATTACACCAGCACCATCCTCCTGCTATCCAATCCAATCCCTTCTCTTATTGCAGAGAGTGACAGTGACATCACTCCTGTCAGTCAGCAGGCTGCTAGAGATTGGAGCCTTGCAGTCAGAGTTCTGGCTATTAAAATCAGCAAATCCGGCCAAAAGTCAGCAAGTTCCCCTTCCTGGACCTCATGATGAGCCGACATTGACCTCACAGCACTGCCTCAGAGCAAACAAGTCATAGGAAGGATCGTATTTATCATTCCTTGTCTGCAGATCTAAAACTCATCAAAACCAGTTCAGAGACCAAACAAACCCAACAGAGAAAAGGGGATTTCTGATCTGGCAGGACAAGATAGTCCCAGGACCTCCAAGATGTAGCAAATACTAAACAGTTCAGATTAAATGTCTTCCCATGGGGGGAGTAGTTCTTCAATGTCCAGCAACCCTCCTATTCCCCCCTCACATCCACATCCTATTATTGTGTGACCAATACCATCCAAATCATTCTTACTTTCATTTCCCAAAGTTATCCGTCTACAAGGAGACCTGTATAGATCACATGATGGCACCAATGAGGATGGAGGAGGACCGGAGTCACATGACTGAGAAGATACTAAACCTCACCCTGGAGATCATCTACCTGCTGACCGGAGAGGTGAGGAGGGATTCTGGGAGGTCACATGACATCACTCTTATCTCTATTAATAAAACACAGACCTGACCGGAGAGGTGAGGAGGATTCTGGGAGGTCACATGACATCACATCTCTATTAATAAAACAGACCTGACTGGAGAGGTGAGGAGGAGGATTCTGGGAGGTCACATGACATCACTCTCATCTCTATTAATAAAACACAAACCTGACCGGAGAGGTGAGGGAGGATTCTGGGAGGTCACATGACATCACTGTTATCTCTATTAATAAAACACAGACCTGACCGGAGAGGTGAGGAGGATTCTGGGAGGTCACATGACATCACAAACTTATCTCTATTAATTCTGGGAAACACAGACCTGACCGGAGAGGGAGAGGTGAGGAGGATTCTGGGAGGTCACATGACATCACTCTCATCTCTATTAATAAAACACAGACCTGACTGGAGAGGTGAGGAGGATTCTGGGAGTCTAACATGATATTCCTATTGGTTCCTCAATACAGAGATTTCCTCTTCTGAAGTCAGGTGATCATATGACCATCACAGTGCCTCCATGTGACTCCCTAAACCCTGAGAGACACAACATGCAGAAGATTCTAGAAGTCACCAAGAAGATGATGGAGCTGCTGACAGGAGAGGTGAGGTGGTGCGGGTGCCGGGAATTCTGGGACATTCTCCAGTAACAGACAAGGGATGTGTCTGGATGGTGACTGTATCATTGTGTGTGTGTCAGGTTCCTATAAGGTGTCAGGGTGTCACTGTCTATTTCTCCATGGAGGAGTGGGAGTATTTAGAAGGACACAAGGACCTCTACAAGGACGTCATGATGGACAATCAGCAGACTTTGGGTTTTGTGAAGATTGTAAGGAAGGAATTTCCCCGGAATGAGACGATATTGAAGCTCACCCTGGAGATCCTCAGCCTGCTGACTGGAGAGGTGAGTGTAATGAAGGGGTTAAATAAAGAAAAAATCCTCTTGTGCTGCCAAACCTAATATGATGAACTAAGAGTGTCTGCAAACACCAAACTGCGTTCCCACAACACTACAACATAAATGGAGAGATAAATAGTGCTGCGCTACTCACTAAAGCTAACCATAAAGTAAACACCTGACAGAGCCCCTAACTAAGGTGATAGAAGTGCATACCTAGAGAATCACCAAACACAAGGGAAGGAAAAGATCCAAAAACAATGGATGTCCTGCTAGGCAACACCAAATGTGAACAAACCAATGAGTGCAACTTCAACAAATGTGCAAATAGATAGTCTGAGTAATATATATCAAGGCATAAATAATAATATATATAACAAAGCACACAAAAAATATAAAGATAATAATATTCCATTAAACACCCGGCTGAGCCCTCAACACAGTGACAGTCTGTGAATAAATGTCTGTAAATGCAGGAAAAATCAAGATCTGTAATGCAGAAAAATCTTCAAATCAGCAGATATTCCACATGTGACTTGGAAGAATCCTCCACCAGCGAGCGTGCACGCTCCCCTCCCATTTTCATCTCGGAATATATGTAAAATGTGCTTTAATATCAACCCAAAATCCAACCAGCTCTCTCTCTGTAAGTACTTTACTGGCTCCTCCAATTCCTCATCAGAAATCCGTGTTCAAAAAAAATCAAAGGGAATCTCATAGTGTGATACGTCCATGTTTAATGTATAAAAAACCGGGTATAGAATACTCAAAATCGGGCCAGCAGACCCATACAAGCATTGGTAATAACATACACAGGGACAGGTGTACCAAGATGGCGGCCACCGTCTGACCGGAAATGATGTCATCACACTTTCTTCATTACATAATGAATCATGTGACTTCCTCAGGGACATGGATTTCTGATAGGGAATGGGAGGAGGAGCCAGTAAAGTACTTGCAGAGGAGAGCTGGTTGGATTTCAGGTTGATATTAAAGCACATTTGATCTATATATATGTGTTTTGGACTTGTTTTTTTATTTTGTTTTTTTGTCTGAGTATAGATCTATGTTTGTCCCAAGCATGTTTGATGATATTTGCTGTTGACTGGCTCACTACCTCTGCTGGAAGTTCACTCCAAGCATCAACTACTCTGTCAGTAAAATAATACTTTCTGAGATTAGTTGTGAACTTTCCTCCAGTTAGTTGGAGGTCATGTCCTCGTGTTCTTCATTTTGGTTTCATATTGAAAATCCTGCCCTCCTGAACCTTATTCACTCCCTTGTTGTATGTAAAGGTTTCAGTCATGTCTCCCCTTTCCCTTCTCTCCTCCAGACTGGACATGTTAAGTTCCTGAAGTCTCTCCTGATATGTTCTATCCCCCCAGACCTTTCACCATTTTTGTTCCCCGTCTCTGGACTCGTTCTATCTTATCAATATCTTCATGTAAGTGAGGTCTCCAGAACTGGACACAGTATTCTACATGAGGTCCAACTAAAGATCTACTGTATATAGGGGAATCAGGACCTCCTTCCTCCTGCTGGGGACCCCTACAGTGATATAAAGATCTATATAGGGAATCGGGAGGACTCCTTCTCCTTCCTCTGCTATATATGGGACCCTTCCTCTACAGTGATATAAAGATCTATATAGAGGAATCAGGACCTCCTTCCTCCTGCTGGGGACCCCTCAGTGATATAAAGATCTATATAGAGGAATCAGGACCTCCTTCCTCCTGGGTGACCCCTCTAGTTTTATAAAGATACTATATAGGGACCTCTACAGTGATATAAAGATCTATATATAGAGGAATCAGGACCTCCTTCCTCCCGCTGGTGACCCCTACAGTGATATAAAGATCTATATAGAGGAATCAGGACCTCCTTCCTCCTGCTGGTGACCCCTCTAGTGATATAAAGATCTATATAGAGGAATCAGGACCTCCTTCCTCCCGCCGGTGACCCCCTACAGTGATATAAAGATCTATATAGAGGAATCAGGACCTCCTTCCTCCTGCTGGACCCCTCTAGTGATATATAGATCTATATA